ATGTAGGTGAATCTTCTGCAAAATTTGGGCTTAGAAAAGCATTTGGAAGCCTAACATGAACCAGGAGCAAAAATCATAAAGGAAAAGGGAAAAAGTTTCATGAAAGGCCAGAYGCTTTTCTGTGACAAAGAGTGACGCAAGACTTGAAAGGCAAATGACAGTGTGTGGGGGGGGATGGGATTAGCCATAGGGGTGACAGACCAAAGGTTCATCTCATTAATATATGACTAATGTTTTAAAATAAGACAAGCAGTGTCTGCACCATCTAATTAATTAAAAATTAAATTAATTAAAAGGTAGCCCATTTACTAAAGGTTAAATACAGATGAACGATAACCAATCAAGGAAAATTGGTTTAATGAAACAAGAGACTTTTTTCCGCTCTTGACTTGGTCAAAACCGAGAGTGCTAACAGCAGTGCCGGGYGGCTGTTGGGACAGGCGCTGGTGCGGGGCCTGTGAGCCCAGCCGCTTGGTGTTTCGGGTCYTGCAGGCTGCAGCCCAGAGGGACATGCACAGGGACGAACAGGTATGGATAAATATTTCAGAAAAATAAAAGGAAGTCATCTACAGCAGGGAGCTGGCTGTCTCAGTTACTCAGAATGGAAAGCTAGTCAGCTGTTTAAAATGCTGACGGATGAGAAGGGAAAGTGCTGATCGTGTCTTGTCTAAGAGAAAATCTCCTTTAGCACATGATGCCGTGGTAATAGAGTGTGTTCCAGTCCTTCTCCACTCTGTCTTGCTTAGGTTAGTAAGATTACATGAACTTCACAATAGTTTTTTACATTTTATCTTTTTATAAATTGTGCCTTGTGGAACTTCAACTGTGTCTTTCCCTCCCTCCCTTCATTGATTAAACCCTGGGACACTTTTACCATTGAGCTGTACCCCCAGACCTTTTAATTCTTTTATTTTCAAACAGGGTCTTACTAATTTTCCAGGCTGTCCTTGAACTTGCAGTTCTCCTGCCCCGGCCTCCCAAATCACTGGGATTATAGGAGCGTACCACCGTACCAGGCTAATTTCCTTCCTTCCTCCCTCCCTCCCTCTCTCTCTCCCTCTCTTTCTCCCTCTCTCCCTTCCTTCCTTTATATATATTTAGTTGTAGATGGACACAATACCTTTATTTTGTTCATTTATTTTTATGTGGTGCCGAGGCTCGAACCCAGGGCCTYACATGTAGGAAGCAAGAGCTTTACCACTGAGCCACAAACTCAGCCCCTTTTCTTTCTTTTTTAAAAATACCATTTTTCTCAAATTTTTCCTTTATCAGTTATATATAAAACTTTATTAAATATAAGTCTGAATTATATTCAAACATGATTATACTTAATGATTATTTCTGAAATCATATGTGTGTGTATATATATATATATGTGTGTGTGTGTGTGTGTGAGAGAGAGAGAGAGAGAGAGAGAGTGTGTGTGTGTGTGTGTGTATTTAGTGGTAGTTATTTATTTGTCATATAAAGTTATTGTCTTAATGCCTAAGAGGTGACTGTGGGTATCAGGAAGAGTGATTTATAATTTTTTATCAGGATTGCCCAGGTAGCCTGGCATATCAGGTTGGCCCCTCTGCCCACTGGCGTCTTGACAAAGGCCTGCTCTGGTTTTTAGAGGGTCACTAGAGGTTTATGCTTTGACCAAAGTATAAAGTACTATACCTGAGCATTCCTCTTTATATTCAAAGAGCAGTCTTTTGATGACTTAATCATCAGTCAAGAGAAAACGGGTCCTCAATTAAAAATCCTTTAGTCTGAGAACAGTAGTGTCAGTTACAAGGATAATCCAGAAAATATCGACTCCTGGTGTAGACCATGCACTCTGGGAAGGCTCAACATCCCCGGGTGCAGGAGCTCACAGCCCAGTGGTCGAGGTGTGCACGCGCGTGTGCACACACACACACACACACACACACACACACACACACTGACATACATACACACAGGCACACGGTGCAGGGGATAAGTTCTGGCATCTGTAGAAAGTACCTAGGGGACAGGCTGGGAGTCACTGTGCTCAGTGTCCCACAGCATGACTGCCGATGGTGGCATCAGTCAGGCGAGCCAGGCTGGCCACTCACTAGCAAGAGATCTTGGGCAAGTGACTTAACCTTTCAGAGCCCCAATCACCTTATTGACCATAATTTATACCTGCCCTTCCTGGGTATTATGAGGGTTTGATGATATAAAATATGAAAGGTGCATTACCAGTGTCCAGTGGATAAAAGTTAATTCTCTTTCTGCTCCTTAGTATCATAAATCCAGGTTAAATAGGTCAGCTCATGTCCTTCTTAGTGTTTGAATTAATTTGGACATAGGCTAAACTGAAATTTATTCTCATTTGTATGCGTGCCGGGGAATTCTTTGATCATTTATCTTTTTCCATGCAGTTTTAGCATACACATCTTGGTTTGTTTGACTTTCTTGCTCTTTCCAACTAATAATTGGAAAATTATTTTAAAGGGTCATTTCCTGACAAGGAAAAAGATATATTATGATTTACTTCTGAAAGAACGTAGAGAAAATAATCCCTCCTAACTCCAGTCTACTCGTAGCATCAGGAGCTGAAGTCAGTAGTATCACATTTCCTATCCGCTGTGGGAACAGATAGAAATTCTTTGATTGGTTAGTGACTGYGTTTCCTGCCTGATAGGAAACAGATAGGTGGAAGTCTGATGGGTTAACAACCACAGGCTCTAKGAAGTCGTGATAAAATCTCCACCCCAGTGCTTCTCTGCGCTCTTGCTTGTTCACAAGCTGCCCAGAACTGAACTCATGAACTGTGGTCAGGACGCTTGACCTAGCTTTGTCCACCCTGACCTCACTCTTTCCTGGGGACTGGTTGACCAGCATGCCGGATCAAACAGGACTGCTCCACTCAGCCACTTGTGCCAGCAAAGCCTGGGCCTTTGGAACATGTTAGAGTGGCATCTCAGTCTGGCTGAGGASCACAAGCAATTCTAACGAGCCCAGGAACAGGCTGAGTTTGATTCTGAATCACGTCTGAAATAGGGCTCATCTCCAATGTAAAGCTTGCCTTTGGCACAGGACTTGGGAATACATGTTGACTAGGAAAGGTCCTTTGAGAAAACAGAAGAAGAAATACTGATGTGTATGAAAGATCATGCACYAGCCAGTTGTGGTGGCTCACACCTGTAATCCCAATGATTCAGGAGGCTTATGMAGGAGGATCACAGTTTTGAGGCCAGCTTAGGCAAGTTAGCAAGACCTTGCCTTAAAATAAAAAATAAAGGATTTGGGATGTAATAGTAGTAGAGCACTTCAGGGTTCAATCCTTAGTACCACCAAAAAAAAAAAAAAAAAAAAAAAATTAAGTACCGCAGAGATTAGTTTTTCAGTGAACACAAAACTCTTGTATTTGACTGTAGCATAAAAGCAACTTCTAAAGTGTATATATAGTAGATGATAATGTGGATAGTACCTTATTCTTAGAGCATATGTGAGTGCCTTCACATATCTGGGGGCAATCTTCACACTCCACTGTGTGTTTACAAAAGGCTCTTAGGATTACAACCACTTAATGTATTGATATGCCACACTGGGCTTGGTGGTACATGCCTGTAATCCCAGTGACTCAGGAGTCACAGATAGGAGGATCACAAGTTTGAGACCAGCCCCAATCACTTAGTGAGGGCCTAAGCAACTTAGCGAGACCTTGTCTCTAAATTAAAAATTCYAAAAACCAGGGGCTGGGGTTGTGACTTAGAGGTTAAGCATCCTGGATTCAATCCCTAGTACCCAAAGGGGAAAAAAAAATTCTGCACACATACTGATTGATTGAAAATATTAACTCTTGTTTCATGTCAACACACTTAAAGAGTTTGTTTTGCAATCACGATGTATAAGGGAACATTAAAACTGGGTTCAGCATTGTATAAATAAAAAATAYACAACCAAAAGCTTATTGGTTTAAAAAAAAGAAGCTTATTGGTATGTTACATTATTTTCTAACGCAAAAGGATTTCCAAATGTCATGCAGGATAAAACGATTAAACTGACTCCTTCAACCAACATTTACTAAGTATTTTGCACTAGAAACCAGGATTACAAAGATAAAGAGATTATAGTCTCTGTCATCAGGGACTCTCAATCCAGTGGGGGAAGCCGGGGTTAAAGCCAGTAGTTTCTGCAGGTGCCTAGTAGTGACTCTTCTAAGCACTTGGGAGCAAGAGGAAAGAGAGAATAATTTTAATTCTCTTAACGATGGGAAATGGATGCTATAAAGGAGTCCATTTCAAAGGGTAGTAAATGTTCCCCTATGTGTTTAAGAAGCTTGTCACACCTTCACTCTACCACGGTATAGTGCGTGACGAGGCCCCCTGGATGAGGGAACTGTCCTCGTGCCCCTGTGGGAATGGGGGTGAGGGGTCCTGCTGGCAGCAGCAACTCACTCCACCGTGGGCAGTGGGCAGCGAGCAGCAGTTTTCAGCACAGGGCTTGGTGCTGCGGGGGCTCACATCATGTGTACGACATCATCGGAAGCTCTGAATCCAGATGGGGAGACCAGACAGGTCATATTTCATGATGCCTTGGAGGCTAAGTCCTAAGAAGAAATGACCAAATCTGAACGGTGCTCTCATCTTGCCCGCTTACAATGGGAAAGAAATTTCAATGCCCAGAGAAATGCCAAAGAGGGAAACTATGGGGTCGTAAGTTTATCCAGGCACTGACTCTAGAAGCAAAGATGAAATTGCAAGCCGGGCGCAGTAGCACGGGCTGTGGTCCCAGCAGCTGGGGACACTGAGGCAGGAGGATCACTCAAGCCCAGGAGCTCAAGACCTGCCGAGGCAACATAGCGAGACCCAGTCGTCCAGGTGGAAAGGAAGAAATCGMACTGATCGGTCCCTTAAAACTGAGCCCTACGAGTCTCTGGCATTGGGTACACTTTCAACACGGGAGAGGGCACCGAGAGAATGTTAGCACACATACGTCAGGAAATAAGCATTCTGGTTTTAATTTTTGTGTGTCTTGTTTTCTAGGACAAGAAGTGGTTTTCAAGTGCCTTGGGGAAGGAATTCTTGAAAAAGCCTTTCAAGGGTATAATGCTTGTATTTTTGCATATGGACAGACAGGTAAGAAGTTGTTCTTATTTTTTTGGGGGGTGGTGGTGCTGGGGATTGAACCCAGGGCCTTATGTATGCTAAATGTAAGTTCTACCACTGAGGAGCTTCACCCCCAGCCCTAAATATGTWTTTTTTTTAACATTTAAAAAAACTGGAAGAAAAGTTTGAGAAGCAACAGAAAAATGCTTTGACTTCATGGATTTTAGCTGAATCAGATGATCCAAAGAAACCCCTTTTTGAAGGTGCCACAGATCTGGAAATGGAGTAATTTCAGTGTTAATGAGCAAAGCTAGTTTCAAACCATTAAGTGTCATTTTCCTAAATTATAGTGTTAACCTGAATCTGAACTAGAAAAATAAATGACCAGTTTCTTGAAATAAATGTTTCAGTGAAAACTACAGAAAACCCCATGGAGCCCTCTCCCACGGAGGCCTTTTCCTAGGATACAAAACTGGCGCTGGGGCATGCAGCCAGGGCTGGTGGAGCAGGGGTCGAAACAGACAAAACCAGACATACTCATAGCTCCGCCGTGACCCCTGAGCCCTGATGATTTCAGTTATAAGATGGAAATAAATAAGTAAATCACCAGAGCGGGGGCCTCCCATCTCATGATAACTAGGAGAACCCAGTGGGAGCAGCTGTCTGATATAACGTATGGTAGGCATAACAGTAAAGTACTGCTCCTGTTACTTAATGTACAGGTGGAAATTTACTTTTATTTTTTTATTTTTTGGTACCAGGGATTGAACCCCAGGGTGCTTATCCTGGAGCCACATCCCCAGCCATTTTTTTATATTTTATTTAGAGACAGGGTCTCACTAAGTTGCTTGGGGCCTCACTAAGTTGCTTGGGGCCTCACTAAGTTGCTGAGGCTGGCCTTGAACTTGTGATTCTCCTGCTCAGCCTCCCTAGCCACTGGGATTGCAGGTGTGCAGCACTGTGCCCGGCTCCCTGAGCCTTTGTCGTGGTTGCGTTTGTAACATCCACCCCCGACGGGGGCTCTTTGGATCTCACAGTGAGAGGCAGACTCAGGTGCAGGTGTGATGGAAAGGAGAGTAACTGTGACACCCAGGGTCTGCTCTTGAGGACCAGGTTGATCCCTTTTCTCTCTACAGCGGTGGCTGGAATATGGCGAGAACTTRTGGGTCGACGTGTCCTTGTCACCCCCTATTGCCTTCGTCCCTTTGCTTGTCCTTCTCCAGGTTCGGGAAAGTCCTTCTCCATGATGGGCCATGCTGAGCAGCTGGGCCTCATTCCAAGGCTGTGCTGTGCGTTATTTAAAAGGATCTCTTTGGAGCAAAATGAGTCACAGACTTTTAAGGTCGAAGTATCCTATATGGAAATTTATAATGAGAAAGTTCGGGATCTTTTAGACCCCAAGGGGTAAGTCATTGAAATTAAATTTGCAAATAGGAGTAATTATTTTAAATGGTGTCAGAAGATACAGGGTGTTTCAGCCCTGGGTCACGACTCTGGGGTTAGTTCATTTACCGAGAATTCAGTGGCTTCACAACACCTGTATATGGGTATACCTAGTTTGCATTTGGTTTTTCCTGCGTTCATATAGAGTTGCTCAGATATGCCATTTAAAGTACTGTTGATATCGTATCCAGGACTCCTTGAGCCATTCATGGAAGTTGAGTTACTATTGACACATTGCTCACTGTGTTCATACTGTAAAGCCACACCTCCTGTGTGTCTCCTGGATCCATTCCATTGCCTCCCCCTCCCTAAGATAACTGCTAGCAGAAACTTTGTGTTTGTCATTCTTCTTACTGAGCATTTGTACATAATTTGACACAAGTTTTTACTTTCTGTGAACARCATCATAGAACATATGTTCTTTGGTGATCTGCCCTCCAACACACATGCAATAATTCATTCACTGTCATTTTTAAAGTAATAATGCATTACCTTTCACTGCTATTTAGTATTTCAATGTATGAATACACGGTAAATTTATCCCTTCCCCGATCACTTGCATGATAAAGAGGGCTCAGGACAACTCAGTGGTAGAGCACACCTAGGTTCAGTCCCCAGCTCTGTGCTACTGAATAGCAGCATCGTAGAATCTCTGGTTGTATGGAGGATCCAGTGTGCTGCTCATGAGCATWCAGTGACTAAGGCTAGGCACCGTGATGGGTCCCTGCACAGTGCAGCCGAATTGTTCATTGTCACATTGAATTTTTCATCCTTACGTGTAGTAAAACCTACTAGGGGGCTGGGGATGTAGTTCAGTTGCAGAGTGCTTGCCTGGCACGCTCAAGGGCCACCTTCTGTCCGCCATGCTGCAGAATCCAAACAGCCAACCTGCTGTGTACATGTTGTAAGATTGAATGGGAGGGCTGAAAAGTGCTTAGGGAGCAATGCCCAGACCCTGGAAGCAGTCATTAATCTGAATTTCTTTTTTTCACACTTGAAATGAAGCTAACCATTGACTTTTTTTTTCCCTTTGGTACCAGGAGTTAGACGCAAAGGTGCTGGGTTCTACATTCTTGGGCGTTTTTAACATTTTTCAGTCTGAAATGGTTGCTTAGGGCCTTGCTAAGTTGCTGAGGCTGGCCTCAAAATTATGATCCTCCTGCCTCAGCCTCCCAAGTTGCTGGGATTATAGGTGTATGCTAGTACTCCCAACTACAACCTTTGACTCTTAATATGAAAGATGATTAATAGCCAGTGTCATGAAAAAGATGACATACAYAATACAGTCAAAACAGATACAGTTTTGCTTTTAAGCTCAATCATCTGTTGATAAGCTCTTCAAAGGGATCCCTAACCACAGCTGTTATTTAAAGATGCAAAAGAGCCCACAGATCTTCCCCAGCAGAGCCAGTCTAAATATGGGATAAATATCAATGACTATAATCTCTGTACTGTAATCTCACTTTCTATATAAAATTACTAGCATAGAAGCAGCGCSATCCAATGCAACCTGAAAAAGTAAACTGAGGTTAAAAATRTTTTAGCATTGTTCAAAATTTGTTAGAGAACTTCTAGACATTTCAGAGGATGTGCTATCTTACAAAATAGCCGTAGTTAGATTTGACCTGGAGCATTCTTTGCTTCCTATTTTTTTGTTTGTTTTTGTTTTGGTCTTGTTTTCCCTTATGTGAAACTGAAGTCCATCTACTGAAACAAGGTCGCTTGAGTTCTATGCCCCAGCTGTTTCGTTTAGGACTAGAAATAGGATTTTTAAAATAATGTTACTTTAAATAGAAATCAGAGCATAAGAGACATTCCTCATACGGAATGCTGTTCCACTAATCCAAATAAAGTAGCTTTTAGGATACTTTTTTTTTTTTTTAATCATTAAAGTCTTGAAATTGTAATCTTAGTTCTGAGTACTTGGGAAGAAAAAGCTTCCAAGATTAGTCAAATTCTTTCATTCCTTTTTTTTCCCCTTCTGCAGGAGTAGACAGTCTCTCAAAGTTCGAGAACATAAAGTCTTGGGACCCTATGTAGATGGTTTATCTCAACTGGCCGTCACCAGTTTTGAGGTGAGTGCCATTTCTTAAAAATGTCACAACAAAAACTGGCAGTGAATCAGGGACTGGGATGTGGGGAGTGTTTTCACACGGATCCTTTACAGTACAGAGATACCGTTCCTGGCCCCAGAACACAGCACCAGGCTGCCCTGTGCCCAAGGTTTCACAGTGTGGCCAGGGGCCCCGCAGTTTGAGGTCCACTCGTACCACGCTGTGGAAACGGTTCTCCCTCRATTCCTCGGGGGGTCCTTCCAGACAGACCCAGCAGTCTCGGCTGTACTTGGTGGTCACTCAGCCCCATCTTGTTAGGAGGGTCTCCTGTCTTGGTTTCTTTCTCCTTTTACTTGTGGCCCCTTTGTCTGACTCACTCCTCCATTGACTGACCTGTTCTCCTTTTCCTGCTTCTTGACTTTTATCCCTGGACTCAATAGTCTGTCCTTATTACTAAAATCATTATTTTGAAAATCTCATATAACAAACTCCTGTCTCTATTGCTGAAGAATGCAAATGAATGAATGAATGAATGAATGGTGAATGAGTAGATGAATGAATGAATGGATGAATGAATGAATGGTGAATGAGTAGATGAATGAATGAATGAATGAATGGTGAATGAGTAGATGAATGAATGAATGAATGAATGGTGAATGAGTGAGTGGATGAATGAATGAATGAGTGAGTGAATGAATAAATGAGTGAGTGGATGAATAGTGAGTGAGTGGATGAATGAATGAGTGGATGAATGAATGAGTGAATAAATGAATCCCTATACTTGTGCTATTTGAGGGACGTGGCTGACCTGCTGTCACCTCAGACTTGGTATGACTGAAATTGACCTGGGAGCTGACTCTAGGTATTTGAATGAAGATACAAATGGTGTCTCTCAGGTTGGAGGGCGCAGTCCTCTCTTTGAACATAGTAGGATTCTGAAAGGAGCAGGAACTTCCCTGATGTAAAGATGCTCATCCTGCACCATCAGTAAGGTGACATCCAATAGCTCAGTGTGACGTCAGTGTGGCTGTCATCCTGTAAGAGCCAGGAGCTCTTGACTTGCATCCCAGCTCTGCCTCTTGGGACATGTGGGGAAAGTAATTTGACCTCCATGAATTTCAGCTTCTCTGTATATCAAATCAGGAAAGTGCTGGCTTCGTAAGGTTCATTCAGCCAACACTGGCTAAGACCTCCTGGTTTCCGGGCGCGTACACGTGTAGAGAAGACGCAGGGACCCACTGTCCCCTCAGGTTGGAGGAGGGAGCGAGAAGCGGGAGGTGGGCCGCTAGCAGGCTGCGGAGGGCAGGAGACTTAGGGCTCAGTCGCACGGTTACTTAGTATCTGAGAACTCCATTAAGGGGGGTTCTCTTTGGAACCTCCAAAGGAGAAATGGGGGTCCTAACAGGAAAAAGAGACTCCTGATAAAGGCCAAGAAGACGGGGGAAGCGTTTAATATACTAGAAGGTTCTGAGGGGGTAGGAGCTCACGGTGCTGCCCCCAAGGCAGCGGTCTCCACGGAGGGCGTGGGGAGGCCAGAGGGACCCTGGTGAGCGCACGTCCTGGGCGCAGGGGCTTCTGCTCACAGTGTGTCCCCCGTGCTTGCCTCCAGGATATCGAGTCCTTGATGTCTGAGGGAAATAAGTCGAGAACCGTCGCCGCCACCAACATGAACGAGGAGAGCAGCCGCTCCCACGCCGTGTTCAACATCATCATCACCCAGACGCTGTACGACCTGCAGTCCGGGGTGAGCGGTGTCCACGTGGGACGGGGGTCTGGGTGGATCCAGCGGCTGGGAATTTGTTCATTGGCTCTTTTGCTTACTCAACAAGCTGCTGTTCTTAAAGCATTTTAGTCTGGGGTTCCTTTCATACCCTCTTTTTTTAAAAGTTGGATTTTGTGCGTAAACTCCCTAAAGAACACGAGGCCATCGCCATGTAGTTTCTAATATGTATCCATTCACCCCGGAATTACCCCCCAACCAACCAGTCTACTCAGAGTCCTTGAGGGGCGTTAAAGTGAAAGCCATGACGTTTGGCCGATGGGTCACACTCGGGAGAGGAGAGATTTGACCCAGGTATGCAGGGATCCTCGTGTCCCCCAATTCCTTCATGGCACATAGCGTCTCCAACTTCTCACTAGATTCTGGGAAGCTGGGTGGGAGCTGTCCAGCTGCGTTTCCCCAGCAATTCACATTTGGGCTGTGACGTTTAATGCTGGTTCCCCTGACTCTGGGACCCTCCCATGGTCCCGAGACCTCGCTGTGGGGTGGAGCGCTGGGTGCCTGCGCAGTGGCCCTGGGTCCTGCGCAGCCCTGTGGTTTCTGCATTAACACGCGCTGTTTCTCTCTTGTTCCCCACCCCAGAACTCGGGAGAGAAAGTCAGTAAGGTCAGCCTGGTAGACCTGGCGGGCAGCGAAAGAGTGTCCAAGACAGGAGCTGCTGGCGAGCGACTGAAGGAGGGCAGCAACATCAACAAGTAGGGACGCGAGTTGGCGGCCGAGGGTCATCCTGTCTCGGGTTTGTTGTGTTTTAAGGGTGCGAAGGTTCCCAGGCAAGGCGGCTCCAAGCTTTAGTACCCTGGGGTGGGGAAAGTCAATGCGTGCTCTAGGAAGGTGCACAGAGTTGCTCCAAGGCTGATGTGTCATCTACACAGGCGAAGATCCGGCTTAGGGTGGTTCCCCTGGGCATTTTCATCTTCAAGGGGAACCTACATCAGATTTTGAATTTGCATCTCTTTCTAGGCTAGCAACATTTGGTCTCATCTTCTCGGAACAGTGGACAGTGGCAACCACAGAGCCCAGTGGCTTGATCACACTGATGAGGGGGCATGGGGCAGGGGGTCCGTAATTGAGAGTCTGTCAGGACTGTACTAGAGATTGAACCCAGGGGCAATTTACCTACCAGTGAGCCACAAATTACCTACCACTGTGAATGAGGTGAATGGATACATATTTTATTCTTTTATTTTGAGACAGTGTCTCCCTAGGTGGTTGAGGATCTCACTAAGTTGCTGAGGCTGGTCTCCAACTTGCAATCCTCCTTCCTCAGCCTCCTGAGTCGCTGAGATTGTAGGTGTACACCACTGTACCTGGCTGGATTAAATGCATTTTTGACTCACATTGTTTTCAATTTAGGGCCTATTGAGACCTAGTCCCTGTCCTAAGTCAAGGAGCATCTGTAACAGTCTTGGGTAAAGTGTAGATCACAATTTTATAAATCAAATCATGCCAGTGGTGGTGGTGGTGGTGGTGGTGCCCRTCTGTCATCCCAGCAATTTGGGAGGCTGAGGCAGGAGGATCACAAATTCAAAGCCAGCCTCAACAGTTTAGCAAGGCCCTGAACAACTTAATGAGCATTCCCACAGAGTACATGGTGTTTATTGTCTCGAAAAATAAACAAGAACGTGGATTGTTAAGCATCCCTGGATTCAATCCCCAGCACTAAAAAAATTAATCAATCAATCACATCACATCTTAAATCAAACTTGGCTTGTTCTGAAAATCTGCTTTGCATCCCTTAGTGAGGCTAACACTGTTTAAATATCATGGAAAAGTTTAACAACAGCTGAACTGTGGCCAGACTGGAATCTTGCTGTTTGCCTCGAGTGCCTGCAGAGAGCCTGGGGCTGCAGTAAAGGCTGAAAGGGTGCMGAGCAGTGGGGGTTTGTCAGGGAGATGGAGGAGATGCAGGCCTTCAACGCAGAGGGCTCTGTGGGGGCAGAGATGAGGTGCATGGTCGGCAGGGTCCCAGGCAGCTCTGGGCAAGCAGGGAGGAGTCTTTGCTTTCCAACTTGAGGTGGGCCTGAGTTTGTATCTAAAAATGCCTGTGTTTAATCCCACCCCCCACCACTTACTGGGTAGGTGCATCTTGAGCCAGTGATTTTTGCCAGTCTGCCTTACTTTTCTCATCATCTGTAAAACGAGAATAACAATGGTGTCTATTTCAYAGAATTATTGAAGATGAAATGCCTGTAATGCACTTGGGAAAATGTCTAGCATGTATGAATACTACAGGAGGAAGGATGAATTGTTCTAGCTTTGGCTTTTTGTCTTGTTTTTTGGTACTGGGGATTAAACCCCRGGTGCTTTACCATTGAGCTGCTGTCCCAGTTCTTTTTATATATTTTTAAATTTGAGGTGGGCTCTCACTAAGTTGCTGAGAATCTCACTAAACTATGAAGGCTGACCTTGAACTTGTGATCCTCCTCCTTTAGCCTCCTCAGTCTCTGAGATTACAGGTCTGCATGACTGCACCCAGCTGTTCTGGTTTTAATTTCATAATAAGCACAATCACTATCATTCTTCCAAGTTCTACACAAAGGAGATTCGTCTATACTTGTAATCTGTTTCTGTTGAGCCATCAAAACTTTTTATGGGGTTTTGTCTAGGACAAAATGGGACAAGAGGAAATATATTCAGGAATGATCATACAGCTTTCATTTTACGGTGATGTTGGCATTGTATTTTGCTGTGATTTGAGTATACGAAAGTTTAAAAAATTAAACGTAAAGCATTATTACGTCCTCTATCAGACAGACAGAGCTGCAGTTGCTGGACAGACTGCTGCTTTAGGAGTTAATCTTCCAGGCATCCTGTCTCCTGCTCTGACAACAAGGGATTTCCCTGTGTCTCATGACAAAGCGTGGCCGGATCCCAGTCGGGCACCGCAGCTCTGTTCCACCATGTACTCTGGGAGTGTGCAGCCAGGGGCGGGAGGGAGGAGAGAAAGTCACCTGTCCTGGAGCTTCATTTTCTGGYACTGAGCTCGGCCAACCCTTTGTCCGCTGGAGGGCTAGGGGGCCAACACAGGAAGCTCTTGCTGTCAGCTCATGAAAATTTTGAGCGTGTATGTACAGCTGACTTATCAGACTCTCTCTAGTGCCAGGTGCTATTCTGAATGCTCCTTGTGTAGTGGTACATGTGGTTTTCCCACTGGCATTGTGAAATGGGTCCTATCAACCCAGTGTACAGATGTACAATCAAGGCAGAGAGCACTTTAATACTGTCTCAGGAGCCGGAAGCCCTAGGACACACCTGTAATCCCAATGACTGAGGCAGGACGCTCACAAGTTCAAAGCCAGSCTGGGCAAYCTAGAGACACCCTGTTTTAAAATTTAAAAAATAAATAAATAAAAAGGGCTGGGGGTGTAGCTCAGTGGTAGAGTACCCCAGGGTTCAGTCCTTTGTACCAAAGAATAAAGATGGTGATGTGTCTTGGGTCCCCAAGCTCCAAGTGCGAGAGTTGGATTAGATTATATGCAGGCTCCGGGGCCCAGACTTACCCACTGTGCTGCATTGGGGTGCCCAGGCATTATTGTTACCTGGAAGAGGCTACTTGAAATTTTTGTTCCATAGTAAATAGCAATGGTGTCCCTTTAAATTTGGAACCTTTGTTTTATAGTGTCTCTAGCCAGGTGCATTGGTGCACATTTATAATCCCAGCTACTTGGGAGGCTTAGGCAGGAGGATGACAGAGGCCAGCCTGGGCAACTCAGTGAGACCCTGTCTCAACAACCAGCTGAAGAGGGCTATCTGTGAGGCTCAGTAGTAGAGCACTTGCCTAGCATGTGGGAGGTCCTGGGTTCAGTCCCCAGCCCTGCTACAAAAGAAAAAGATGTATTGTCCCTAACTAGATGACCTCAAGGCCTCGTAATAACATGATTTACTCCTCCAGCAACTGGCTCTTTCAGTTAAGGAGTTGTTCAATTAATATAAATCTCTTAGCATCAAAAGTCTTTCCTAATGTACATCTTGGATCTTTTACAAATGTATGTGAGTATTCCTTCCTCCTAGTTTATGAGATCGGCCCTTTCTTTTGAGAGCTCCTAATAGTGCTCAGAGCACTTTCACAGGCATTATTTGATACAGAGCTCCCAGCAGGTATTTTTATCTCTGTTAACATAAGAGTTTTTTAGAGATGAGAAAATTGAAACTTGGAGACATCAAATATCATAAATGCAGGCCCATCGGACATTAGCTGTGCCTCTCCTACGTGTCTGGCACTGCAGTAGGTGCGAGGATGCAGAAGGAATTTGGACGTTGTGGTAGGTAGCAGAATACCTCCACCCCAAACCTGTCCTCCTTCTGACCCCCAGAACCCGTATCCATGTTACCTTCAACGAGAGCCTTTGCAGGTGTGATCAAGGTAAGGCTGCTGGCTCGGGGAGATTATTGAGGTAGGCCCCGCGTAGCTGCACGTGTCCTTACAAATAAAAAGAGGCAGAGTGACACGGGGTGGGAGCGACTCGACAGCATTGTTAGCTGGAAGACGGAAGGATGAGGGCAGCCTGGAGGAGCTGGAGCAGGTCAGCACTCTCGTCCTCCCTTGAAGCCTCCAGTAGGAGYGTGGACCCCCCAACACGGGATATTTTGGACACCCAGGATCAAGGACTGCAGGATTAAGAAGTTAGGAGGGTCTCCTTGACTGGACGGAGGTCAGGGTCACTTCCCTCTGAGGCTGCCTCTGTCTTTCTGTGCATTTTCAGTCYCTACTCACTTTTTATTGTGTTTTATTATGGGTGTTGTCTCAGAGTCCTCTTGGGAGGTCTGGTAATGCCCACACTGGGGTCACTCCTAAAATCCCAAGTATTCTGAACTTCAAGACACATGTAGACCCAGGGATTTCAGAAAAGAGATACAGACACGCACCTTTAAATTCCATCTTGGTGAACAATGACGAGCTGCGGCAAGACGTGCAGTAAGACTGGCCTCAGGAAGGAGGAAGGAGGGTACCTGGGTGGCTGTGTTAGAGCGCTGAGTGCCAGGGACACGGGGTGGCAGTGGGTGCCCGGGTGTGTAACCGCGGATGCACCGGAAAGGCTCCCACGGCAGGTACTCCCCAGTTCTTGGTCATATGAACCAGCCTCGTGACCTCCCTGGGTCTCACTTTCCTCGTCTGTAACGTGTGGCTAGTGACTAGTTTTCATCTCTTTTGCTTATTTCCCCCTATTTATTTCCTAGTTTAGAGCCAGGCATTGCGGCACACACCTGTGATCCCAGTGACTTGAGAGGCTCAGGCAGGAGGATTGCAGTTTTGAGACCAGCCTCAGCCACTTAGTGAGACCCTGTCTCAAAATAAAAAGAAAGGACCTGGGATGTAGCTCTGTGGTGAAGTGCCTCTGGGTTTAATTTCCAGTACCAAAGAAAGAAAACCATCTGTTTATAAATGCTGTCCCCTAGCCCAGCTCTTTCTTCCTYGGCAGGCAGGCAGCCTCTCCTGCCTCCCCTCCCTTCTCAAGAACTTGTGAGATTGAGAGATCAGGGACTTCCTGACTGCGTCTGACTCCCGCGGTTTCAGGGTGGAGCAGCACTTTGGTAGAATTAGAGAGATTCCTGATATAACTTTTTCTGCCTCTAAAATTGGCAAACAGCTGCCACCCTTTTCTGGACCCTGTGAGGGCCGACAGCTGGCCTCTGGCTTCCGGTCTGCAAAGATGACAGCAGGACCCATAGATGAGTGGTCTTGTTAAGTCACCAA